GGCTGGAGGTGCGCGCGGCGGCCGGGCCGGGCCGGGCCTGCTGGCAAATGGTGACGTGATTGTTCATGAACTTGCGTCAAATTCCCCAACGGACACAAACGGGGAAGGAAGGGGGCAGCGGAAGAAAATCAGATTTCACCGATGTTACATTTACAGCGTGTTTTGTTAATCCGAGAAAAACCGTGCGTTTACAGGGCCGCACGGTAGCCCAAGTGAAAACTGAAGTGGAAGCGTACAGTAACGCACGGATCTTCACCCCCATTAAATCCTACATTTCAGGCTCCCGGGCAGCGCGCAGGGACCTCCGCCCCTTGCTGCCTGCCTCCGCGGGGTTGGGAAGGATTTCAAACCCTGCGCAGGGCGTAGCTCAGGCGGGGCTGAGCCCACCAAGGAGAACACCCGGCAGAGACAGCCGTCTCCTCCTTTCCAGCACCGAGTTTAAGGAGTCGTCACCCAACGTGGTTTTTGGATTGAACTGTAAGTAGTTACAAGAGGCCGAATAATCAACGTTCGTTATTTACGTTCACACCTACAAGACCTAATTAGTAATTTTTTCTCACAGATGACGTCTGTGAGAGGAAAAGGACCTGGGGGTGTTGGTCAACAGCCGGCTGAACATGAGCCGGCAGTGTGCCCAGGCGGCCAAGAAGGCCAACGGCATCCTGGCCTGTATCAGAAATAGTGTGGCCAGGAGGAGCAGGGAAGTGATAGTGCCCCTGTACTTGGCCCTGGTGAGGCCGCACCTCGAATACTGTTTTCAGTTTTGGGCCCCTCACTACAAGAAGGATGTTGAGATGTTGGAACGTGTCCAGAGAAGGGCAACGAGGCTGGTGAGGGGTCTGGAGAACAAGCCTTATGAGGAGCGGCTGGGGGAGCTGGGGTTGTTTAGCCTGGAGAAAAGGAGGCTGAGGGGAGACCTCATTGCTCTCTACAACTACCTGAAAGGAGGTTGTAGCGAGGTGGGTGTCGGTCTCTTCTCCCAAGTAACTGGCGATAGGACGAGAGGAAATGGCCTCAAGTTGCGCCAGGGGAGGTTTAGATTGGATGTAAGGAAAAATTTCTTTACTGAAAGAGTGGTTAAACATTGGAACAGGCTGCCCAGGGAAGTGGTTGAGTCCCCATCCCTGGAAGTATTCAAAAGACGTGTAGATGAGGCGCTTAGGGACATGGTTTAGTGGGCATGGTGGTGTTGGGTTGACGGTTGGACTCGATGATCTTGGAGGTCTCTTCCAACCTTAATGATTCTATGATTCTATGATTGAGATATTTATGTTCCTTACATAATCAAAGGAGGAAAACAAGCATGTTTTTATTTAAGATCTCCCAAAGGAAAACTCACTTTATCTGAATTATGCATCTGTTGTTCTCCACTTATTACATTGCTGACCTTGCTGAACATTGTGCTGGGCACTCAGGGCTCAATTTGCATAGGTGTTTTCTGAGACTGTGGGCATAAAACAGGAGACACTGGCATAACTGTCTAGTGCTTTAGACACTACTGGAACTGGAAAGCATTAATCTGTGTCCGAAGCTCATCTCTAATGGTGGAAGGAGGAATTAGGTGGATGTTGTTTTACACTGGTGCCATCCCAGCAGTTGTCTGTGATCAATAAACTAGGATATATACCGGTTGGCAAAGTATTCCATCTTTGTTATTAAGAAGGGCCCATACTTGCAGTTCAGAAAACGAGTCATGATACCAGGAAAAAAATGAATATTGAAGCATGGCCATACTGGGACTAAACCTCTATCAGATAGCAGTAGTGGCCTTTTAAATTCTGATTGAGACATTAGGAACTGGGCAGGCGCATAATGAATGTTTCACTTAGCATTCAGCACTTACAGGGAACTAGAATACTGCCATTTGTTTTATACACACAAGCACACACCCATAAGACTACTCTTTATCTGTTTCTTGAGGTTAGGTTGTTAACAGCTGGGTGTTAGGCCAAAGGTATATTCAGCCTGTATCAGGAAGCTTCCATTCTCCCCTCGGGAAGCAGAACGCTGGAAACCTGAAACAGCTTTTTCATATATGTTATCAAATTAGACTGAGTCAAGTAAGAAGTAACTGCCAATGGTAGTGTAACTGTTTAGGCTAATGATGGTCATCTGATTGCTTTTGGATATACACAATATTTATAAATCCTTTTGGCATCAAACATTTCATATTCATATGCTAGCATATGGAAATTGCGGCAATATTGACAAGGTGGAGCAGGCAAAACCCTCAGGCTGCGAATCATTAATCCTAGGTGGTGACTAGTATGATGCAATATGATAATTACTCAGTCCTTCTTTTAAACAGTTTTGGTTGTTTTTTTTTTTTACTTTGGAAGAGGGTAGTAGGAAAATAAATTCAGCTCCTCTGCAGTTTGAAAGTTACTCTGAGCTAAGACATTGGTATGCATTCCCTTTCCACTAGGTCTCCGGAAGCAAAGACAGACGTCTCAATGGCTACCAAGGTAGGCTCTTTCTCCCCTGTGTTTCCCCTCTATTTCTTAATTCCTCTTCTGACTGCTTCATTGTCCACATTCTATGACCCTTGTGTCATGACTGTCTTATAAAATGGATGTTCTATGTGCTTCATACTAATACTACTCTGCAAAGTATTTGTAAGGACTAACTTCAATTTGTTGAGACTTCCTCTCTAGATGATAGCTAAAGAGGATCCTCCAGGACATGAATCAGAACAAGGGTAGGATTCATCTCACCTGACTTTAAACATCTGCATTACAGATTTCTATATATGAGCTAGTCGCGAATGCATTTCATAGTGCAGTTAAACAGGCACCTCTGGGGTGTCTGAAATATGGTATAGGAGTCATATTCTAGAAGCGCTTCTTGCTCTCCACTGATGTTTAAGGATGTTCAGGGGACTGCAGATTTCAGGCTGAAGTTGAAGGTTAAGTGAGATGAATGCTACTGCAGGCATACACCTGATCTATAATACAAACCTAGGAAAGTTGTATTCCTTAGGCTACTGTGAACAATAGATCAAGTTAGACATTTGTTTTTAACTGAAAAATACACCATTGGCTCAAGGAAATCAACTGGTGAAGTTCACTGAATTTGAAGAAAAAATATTTCAGATTTGCATTACTATTGTGAAAAACTGCTAGCAAGCAAAACAACATTTCCTTTCAGAAAATGGACTGTTTTGTTCAGTCAGGAGTTTGAGGACTTTTTAGTCTGGAAGAACTGAAATTTTTGTTTGTGTTCCTTTCTCTTCACTTTGTTTATTAGGTTCATAAATCTTTCATCCTGTATTTAAAGTGTAACACAAAAATGAGTTCCCTGATCTTCTTTATGATACTGTTAGGCATTGACTCAGAGTGAACACTGGCTAGTCTGTAGAAAGCTGCGTTGTCTGTATGGATCCCATAGGTTGTTTCTTGCAGTGAGAAACAGTCTTACCCTGAATGTGTTTCACTTTCTATGGCAGGATGGCAGTGAAGTCCGTCTGTCTCCCAATCTCTCAGAAGGTGAGATAAAAGCCACTCAGAAGAGAAGAGAAAAAGTACTGATGTGTCTGAAAAAACTTGGGATTCATTGTGACCAGGTAAGCACTGACAGTCCTATTAAGGAAAGAAGGATAACACTCCAGTGATGTGAATGGCACACAGAGTGCCATCTGAAGTGAGGTCCAGTCCCTAAGAAGCATCATCTGTCATCACAAGTTCTCCAGAGCAGGCTTTCTGTCCACTGCTGGGAAAAGGATTCTGGCTGGGAATTTCCAAGGAGAAAAAAGGGAGCGGGACACTGAATTTTCAGTGGAATTTCCAGCAACAATTCCTATATTTATCAGCTAATTAATTAATTCATCGACTTGCCCTTGCATATATTTATATACATGCATATTTTTATAATTCTATATGTATGTGTATATATGAATATATATGCACCATTCGAAAGACACGCAGTTAACCACCTGAATGTGTTTGTATCCTAATAAGCGTGCACACACACACCTCTCTGATCTCTCTGTGCGTTCTTGTGCACACATTCATTTCTACCTTTGAACCCTTTCATCCTCAGATGCACACCATCACATACATGATACAGGAACTCCGGCCCCTATGCTTTTTCATATACCGTGACCATAGGCATACAATACAACTCTGCACACATCTTTCTTTGACTCCATGCTCATTTTATCCTCATGGCATGCATGGTGGGTTGACACTGGCCAACAGCCAAACACCCACAGAGCTGCTAACTCACTCCCCTCTCCCACGGGACAGGAGGAAAATACTGTTCAGCAACACTCAAAACATTGGTGTGTTATCAATACCTTTTTAGCAACAAATCCAAAGCACAGCACCATATGGGCTGCTGTGAAGAAAGTCGACTCTGTTCCAGCCAGATCCAGTACAACCTGTTTCTTGAGAAATTTCTGTGGCTGGCTGTAATAGTTCTACCTTACTTTTTTTGGGAAAAAATGAAGTTCTTGGTGACAAAAAGGGAATAGAGGTGACAACTAGAGAAACACAATGAGTACTGCTCAAGATTTATTTATATTTTGAAGCTACAGCACAGAAACACAGCCACAACAAATTTCGGTACCAGGAAGACAAGTGATAGCACAATACAAAGGAGAACCCATTCTGTGACTGTGATGTAAAGGAAAAAGAGAAATAGGGGAAAAGAAGCAGATTGTGGAATGTGTCCTAAAGCAAGAAAGCAGGTCAAGTGAGAATTGCAATAGCCTTTATCCCTGTCTGTTTGTTAAGCCTTTGCTCTAAAAGAAATATGTTTTCTGTCTTCCACTCCCCAGAATAATGTGCCTAATATTGTTGTTCTGGGATCAGGCGGAGGCCTGCGTGCCATGATAGCCTTGCTAGGAACCTTGGTGGAGCTGAAGAATCAGAATATCTTGGATGCTGTCATGTATCTGTGTGGGGTGTCGGGATCCACTTGGTAGGTGCCTGTTGCCTGGTGTGATTGCAAATGTTTTTCCTGCTCCATAGATTCAATGGCAATTTGACACTTTCATCACTGTTCAGAACTCCCTGTTGGGCTCACAACGGATGAACCCAGCGGTAGGTGAGATACTTGCCTGTGCAATGGTGGGAGGCACAGGGAATATTTGTGACATTAACTACAGTTCAGCAAGACTGACCTTTCACCCCCAAAGAGGAAGAAATTAGTGTCTCTCGATGGTGATTCAAATAAAGAGCTCACTTGGCCATTTGGTCTTACCTCCTGGAGGAGGCAATTCCCCCTGTTTACAGGCAGTGAGGAGCAGAAAAGGGGTAAGCAGCCAGGAAAGCGTTGAAAACTTCTAGGTAGCATACTACCCAGAACACCAGGGCTTGTTTACATAGAGGCTGTGGTATATTTAAGAGGGGCCCATGCCACTAAGCCACATCTCTCAAGTGTATGGGAGTGAGCCAGGTGCCTAAATGTAAATACCTAGTGCCATTTCAGGTACTTACTTTGCCAGCCCCCTACCAGTTTGGAAGACCACCGGGTCTCCTGCACGTACTGCATCAAATCTGCCAAATCTGTGGTGATGTCACTCATCCTTGTGGCAGGTTAAATGCATTATATATGTACGGTTATGGTCTTGAATGTTGATACTTCATCTACTTTTTTAGGCTTACCTTATATGCAAAGAAAAGAAATGACATTCAGGAACATGAGCCATTTTAACTTAGGGCCCACGTGCAGCATGTCAATGGCATGCCAGGATTGGTCGTTACGCTGAAGTGACTGTGAAGGGAGTCTAGCTTACAGGTCACATACAGACACCTGCCCTGTAAGGATAGAACTCTGTCTAAATGTAGACATCTCAGTACGTGTATCTGTATGTGACCTACACAACTCTCCTTCCATTTTACTGGAGGGGATAGGTTTATGTTCTCTAAAGACAGACTTCCAGTGACAGTGACAGTTCAGATGCCCTAGGAGGAAATCCTGTCTGGTTTTCAGCAGCTGGTTCAAGAGGATACAGGTCTTTCACAGATCTTGTGTTATTGTCTGCCACATGAGGGTGGAAGTCTTGGACATTTCAGGCCACCTCAACTGTCACTGTCTATGGTTAGGTACCACGTCTGCAGTAATCCAGAACATCTTCCTTGCACAGAGTCAAGACATATGCTGCTCTAGATGAAGAAGGTAATGCTGTACACCTTAATTTATACCTGAATTAAGCTGTGGACTTGGTCTTGGAATAGAGTGAGCCTTTACATCTCTGCAGGTAGACAGCATGAGCTGAGAACTGTAAGTTTAGTAGGAGATGATGTCACTCAGTAAGTGTACCAGATTTATTGGTCCTAATAACTGATAAAAAAAGGTCACAAGCCTCTAGAGCAAAATGATGACATGATGTGAAACATTCTACGTGTTTAAGTTTGTTCTGAGCTCTTTGATGGATTATTTGTGTCTTGGCAGATTTCACATCTTTCCCACTAGTATTCTAGCTGCAAAATCTGTATTCCTGCAGCAATTTACCCTTAATATATGGCACGTACACAGCTGAAATCCAGCTTCAACTCATCTAACTAATTAAATGATGTTATCAGTATGCAGCTGGGATGTAAGTGGTCAAGGAATAATGACACCTTTCTATGATGTAAAGTGCCTTGCTTCTGTAAAAACCTGGGACTTCTTCCTCCTCTGATACATTTTTAAAGACACTCCTATATCTGCATGCAGATTCAAACTAAAAAAGGAAAGTCCCATTCACTTTCCCCTATGCTAGAGCTAGGACTTGCCTTTCTCTTTAAAAGGTGCATGTCCCTCCTGTATGAAGATGGGAAATCGTCAGAAAATTTGATGTCCTTGGAAAAGGAACTGTGCAAAAACCTCAGTAATTTCTCCTGGAATCGTATGAAAGCAGTAGAATCCCTACGGGAGTCATCAGAAGATGAACTTTAGTCACTCACCGACTTCTGGGCCTCCTGTCTTGTACACAAAATACTGCAGCAGGTAAGAAGCTCACTGCAAACACCTTGGGAGTGTTTTGAAGATCTCAGAGGAGTGTTTTGAAGATCTCAGAGTAATTGCAACTACGTTTGACCTCGGTGGGTGTTTTTTGAGGAGCTGTATAAGTTGAAGCAGTATTTTAGAGCATGACATCTTATCTCTAGGTATGGAAAGGTAGAAGATGTTAATCCAACTCCTTGGTTAATCCAGTCTCCTAAGCGGGGCTGTCCTCAGTGTTATAGCAGAGGGGAGGGTCATTTTATGTTCCTTCAGAAGTCCATACTTATCTTCCAGTTTGATGAGAATGAGCTGGCTGACCACAAGGAGGCCTCAGAGACTGGAATAAACCCTTACCCGATTTATGCGGCAGTGGATAAGGAAAAACTGAGTGAAGAAAGGGAAAGGCTGTGGATGTGGTCTACCTGGACTTCAGTAAGGCCTTTGACCCCGTCTCCCACAGCATTCTCCTCGAGAAGCTGGCGGCTCACGGCTTAGACAGGTGTACTCTGCGCTGTGTCAAAAACTGGCTGGACGGCCGGGCCCAGAGAGTTGTGGTAAATGGAGTTAAATCCAGTTGGCGGCCGGTCACGAGCGGTGTTCCCCAGGGCTCAGTACTGGGGCCAGTTCTGTTTAATATCTTTATCAATGATCTGGATGAGGGGATTGAGTGCACCCTCAGTAAGTTTGCAGACGACACCAAGTTGGGCGGGAGTGTTGATCTGCTCGAGGGTAGGAAGGCTCTGCAGAGGGACCTGGGCAGGCTGGATCGATGGGCCAAGGCCAACTGTATGAGATTCAACAAGGCCAAGTGCTGGGTCCTGCACTTCGGCCACAACAACCCCATGCAGCACTACAGGCTTGGGGAAGAGTGACTGGAAAGCTGCCTGGCGGAAAAAGACCTGGGGGTGCTGGTCGACAGCCGGCTGAACATGAGCCGTCAGTGTGCCCAGGTGGCCAAGAAGGCCAACGGCATCCTGGCCTGTATCAGAAATAGTGTGGCCAGGAGGAGCAGGGAAGTGATAGTGCCCCTGTACTCGGCACTGGTGAGGCTGCACCTTGAATACTGTGTTCAGTTTTGGGCCCCTCACTACAAGAAGGATGTTGAGATGTTGGAGCGTGTCCAGAGAAGGGCAACGAGGCTGGTGAGGGGTCCGGAGAACAAGTCTTATGAGGAGCGGCTGAGGGAGCTGGGGTTGTTTAGCCTGGAGAAAAGGAGGCTGAGGGGAGACCTCATTGCTCTCTACAACTACCTGAAAGGAGGTTGTAGCGAGGTGGGTGTTGGTCTCTTCTCCCAAGTAACTGGCAAAAGGACGAGAGGAAATGGCCTCAAGTTGCGCCAGGGGAGGGTTAGATTGGATGTAAGGAAAAATTTCTTTACTGAAAGAGTAGTTAAACATTGGAAGAGGCTGCCCAGGGAAGTGGTTGAGTCCCCATCCCTGGAAGTATTTAAAAGACGGGGAGATGAGGCGCTTAGGGACATGGTTTAGTGGGCATGGTGGTGTTGGGTTGACGGTTGGACTGGATGATCTTGGAGGTCTCTTCCAACCTTAATGATTCTATGATTCTATGATTCTAAGAAGGGGGAAACTTTCCAGGTAAAATATGGGCTCCTATGTGTTAAATACCATGCATCAGGTTCCTTTAACCTAATGGCAGGCATTAACTGTGCTGACATCCCATTGCAGTTTGTCAGCCTATGTCTTTGTTTATAGATAATGGAGAAAAACAGGCACTTCCAGGGGCCAAATCACATTTGGTAAAAGTGCCTTTCATGATAGGATAAGGTGAGGCATCCCTAGAATAGAATGGGCTAAACAGATTAAATATAATGTCAATAAAATAGATCTTCAAAATGTAGAAGCCTGAATACAGGCATTTAGTGCCATCATAGATCTCCCTGGCCTCCATCTGAGTGTTGAGCAGGGTGCAGATCTCTTGTAAATGCTCTATCACACCTGTCAGCCCTGTGTGGAGCTCCAAAACAATCCAGTGCTTCTAAAACTGAACTAGGCAACTATATCCTTTTTCAGTAGTTAGGGAGATGGCCTTCACATGGAGTTTACTTTCAAACAACTACTTTTACCCTGTCCCATTAAACTGACTTTTCCCTCACTACAGTTTAAAACTCTGACTGTCCCTCCTATCCCTACTTGCACAGAGGACAGATCATCTCCTTCCACTTATCAACGGTAGGCTTTGATTTAAGGTGATGGGACTTGATTTATAAAGCACAAGCTGGCCTGGAATTGTGATAATCCTGGAAGGTCTGAGTGAGAACTGGAAACTTCAGTCTGGAAAGGAAATGCGATCAAGGAAGGGATTATGAAATGAAGAGTAGGTGGCTTTGCAGTTTGGGCAGGTGGGTGCAGGATAACAGTCACAACCAACAAAAAGTTTCACCATTGCTATCAAATTTTATTTTCCATACCTGTTAAAATAATTGATCCCTCTCTGGAGCAAATAGACTTGATTCAGTTGTCCACACAGAGGCCTGTGGTTCCATTTGAGATGCCCTACCATACTCTGCCTACTTCCCTACTTCCCCTACTTTTCTAAAAGAGTATGAGTGTTATTTCAGTCCTGTGTCATAACTGTTGGCCCCATGCAGATGACTCCATTCACCATAGGTCCCTAGGTACCACGGGTTCCTAGTTACATATCTGTGGGTACTTGAATCAAGCCCAATCTCTTCTCTTCATCGACCCTAGAGAGTGTTACGGCAGGCAGACTCTGTCACCTATGCATAAGCATCGAGAGGCCCTTGAGATATCTAACACATCTGAGAGATCCGCACAGAGCTGTACAATATGACACATGATCTGTGGGAAACCAAGACCTTTCTGGTGTGGCAGCTGGAGGCCAAGACAGGAAGGATACCAAGAGCATATTGAAGAGCAGGTGGTAGGATGCTTACGACTAAATTTGTTCCCCAAATGCCAATTCATCTTTGTCAGCTAATATCAGAGGATTTTAGAAAGGAGGAGAAAGACAACCAAAATGCTACTTTGGGACAGTGACGTCAGCTATGCTTCCCAATACTGAGTGACAAAGCTGTTTGATTTTTCTCAGGGACTTGGTTTGAATTCACTCCACATGAGGCTGGATATGCTGCCTTGGGTGCTTTTGTGAGTACCAAACACTTTGGAAGTGAATTTGAGAAGGGTAAGCTGAAGAAAAAGAAGAAGAAGAAACACATTTGTTGCATGCAAGGTAAATCTTCCTAATTCCGCTTTGTAGAAAAAAATACAGGTTTAGCTATTCTGTATCTTTCTGTAGGTAACAAGAATGCATCTATTATTCCATGAATGCATGCATAATAGTATATGAATTCTGGAGAGCAGTTTGTCTCACTTTAAATGTTCAAACTGGAACATCTGAATGCCTGTCTACACTCCACTGTCTACATTGACCAATTTTCTGTGGTTGTTTTGGGAAGTTAGAGACCTACACTGTAGACTACTGAAGTTAATAAAATAGTTCCAACCTGAATGTCTAAATATTCTATAATCCCAGCATGTTCACTTTACAAGGAGAAACGCTTCCCAAATTCGATACATCCTATTGTGAGGACTGGTAGCTCCTATTTTGCTGATTTGTTTCACTCTGTTTCAGTTCAGATCCAAAGTTCTTTCATTCCCTACCTAAGCAGTATAGCTGCAAATCTCATCTCACTTGTCTGTGACACAACTAAACATACTTGGCATCCTAAAAAACATCTTGCGTTTAATGACTTTGTGCCCTGGTCTCCTCAAAACACACCCTTGGCATCATGCTATGGGGGTGAGGGGGAAGAAAAAGGCACTCTAGTTCTTATTGTTTAATTCACTCAGAAGGAAAAACAAATAAACACAACACATCCATGAAGAGTACTTATGCCTCCATGCGTGACGTGGGCCCAGGGAAGTGCTCAACCAAGAGTTCTGCAGTGTGAGAGTACCCAATGTTTTCCATGGGATTCTGGCCTTAAGGAACATAGAAAGCTGTTCTACAAAAATGTGTAGACCTAGCAGGACAAAGAGGGAGTAAATACTCTCAGGAGGTGTATAATTCTTTCAGTAGACAGTGAGGGAAGACTAACAAGGAGTTTCGATTTAGACATCTGTCTTACAGATTTTGAAAGTTAAGTAAGAGAAGTGTACTACCGAAAGGCAAACTTGGACTGAATTTTTAGTAAGACTGTTATAAAGCAAGCACTTTAAGTACATTTTCTTTTTTTGTTTCAGCCTTATGGGAGAGTGCTCTTGGAAGCATGGAAGAAAATCTAAAGTTTATACGAGGTACTACATTTTTTCTGTGTCTGGTATGCTCAAATCAGTCGTGGCACCTGCTGAAATTGAGCGCATACTTCACATTACCCTTGAGTAATCCCTGCAGTCCTCTAGTTCCAAACAGAAATACAGCTATGCCTAACAGAAGCTCCACTGGTACCCCATTTGTCATCACTGGAGATGACAAGATAGGGGTTGTCCAGATCTTATCCAAGACTGTGCAGCTTGGCGAGCCAAAATTCCAACTGTATCAAAAGAGGAGCGCTCTGTGGGCATCTGACTGGGAAATGGAGGCTCACAATTGCAAAAGCTGGAAGCTGGTGACTTCTGGCAGCAGGAGGAAGGCTGCTGCTCCCCCTGAAGATTTGCAGTTATGGAATACATTTAGTAGGCTCAGAAAAGATGAGGGACTGCAAGCATGAGGGACTGAGAGCTCTGTCAAATGAAGCATGAGAGCCAGATGAGCCTGACCACCAATAGAAGGAAGTGGTGAGTGATAGCAGTGAGAGGCTCCGTGCTGCAGTGGACAGACACCCCCATCAGCGGATCTGATCTCTTGTCTAGGGAGGTTTGCTGCTTGTTGGGGTCTTGGATTTAGGAGACCTTGTGGAGAGGGAGCTGTTGCTTGTGTGGCCCTCAGGTGATAACCTGTGGAGCACCCCCCAGTGCTCCTCATCATGGGCACCGAGGAAACTGCCAAGTGGGACCCGAAGTGTCAAGCATGACTACATCTGGTGAGGGATGTGAAGGGCAACAAGAAGGGCTTCCACAGGTACATCAGCAGCAAAAGGAAGACTAGGTAAAATGTGGACCTACTCCTGAATGGGGCAGGAGTCCAGGTAACAAAGGACGTGGAAAAGGCTGAGGCACTCAGTGCCGCCTTTGCCTCACTCTCTACTGTTTCGACTGGCCTTCAGGAACCCCTGGTCCCTGAGACCAATAGGAAAGTCTGGAGCAAGGAAGTCCCTTATCCTTGGCAACATGTAAACAAGTTGCATCAGGTTAAGGAACATGTAAACAAATTGGATGCAAGCAAGTCCATGGGACCTGATGGGATACACCCACAATTGCTGGTGGAGCTGCAATTGCTTGCAGCTTGCCCCATGTTTTCCTTAGGGGACTGACAGGAGTGTCAGCCAGGCACAAGGAAATCCAGACCTCCTTGTCACTCATACACATAATGATTTGTGAGATCTTGAACATGTAACTGAAATAACCGCCCTGACATTTTGGAGGGATTCACTCGTGTGAGATGCACTTTACTAACCGGCTTCTGGGAAGGTGGTGTTACCGCAGTCTTGTGTGGCTGCTGTGGCCAGGGAGTACAAGCGAAGCCTGCGCCATGCAGATTCAAGGCTCATGCTCACATTCAGGTCCAAACTTCCTGCTTGTCCACACTGCCTGTGAGTCAGCGCTGGCTCTAGATTGCAATACGCCAGCTGATCTTTCCACCTGGGAAACCTGGGGACAGCAGGCATGGCAGAGCAGGTGAAAGAGCAGATCTGGCTCACCCTCACATCTGCCGCTACAGGCAGTCTGTATGCCAGTGTCTGTGGCTCTTTTGGTGGGAGAACTTAGACCTAAAATTTAGACATAAAAATCCAGATCAGGAACAGCTCAGCTCCAGTTCCTGAAATAAGTGCAAGTCAGCATGTATGTTCTAAACATAAATTTAGCAGAAGATAAATCATACTGTGCTAACCATCATTGCTGGTTGACAACAGTCTTCAAGGAAAAGAAAGTAAATAATAAATATGGCACCTTTCATGGACCTGTTGCTCTGTTCTCTTTCTCCTCTTGTAGAATTCAAATTTCCACAGAATTATTTTCTTTTGTTTTTTTTTGCTCTTCTTCCATCTTGAAATGTTCACCTGGAAAATTTAGACTTTAATGACTGTGAAACACAAAATGCATTCCCGTGGTATTCTCTTGGTAATACTGGAACAAATCACATCAGGCTTCACTCAAATCATCATTAAATTTCTAATTCCTTTATGTATTTATTTGTTTGTTTGTTTATTTATTTTAAAATTCAAAATGGGAATGAAGTATTTGAGGCATATTAGAAAATTCCCATTTACTCCAAACTATATTTCTGCTCCTCCTCCTGCTACTTTGTTTCACGGAACTTTTCCTCCAAGATGAACACAAAGGCCATCTGAATCCTGGTATGGTTGTGCAGCTGTCCAGATGTGAATGCTCACTGTTAGGTGTTTTTATTGTCAACAGAGAGAATACTCACTTTGGCACATGGTTCCTCTCACCAGCTTAAACAACTTCTTTAGGATAAGAGGAATGAGGTCAGTGTTTCTACAGATTTCACTGGATGCAGGGACTATATCTTCACTAGTTCACGTCAGTTACTGTCTAATCAGATGTTTGGTAAGATAAATTCCACTCTGATGTAACTTTTCTCTCATCTTTCTTAGAGAGTAATTCAGATACCTCCATGGCTTATCAGCCCTATATTCTTCTACTAGACCTTCAGTTGTGTGCTGTAAGTGGGAGTGATCCTAAGGAAGTCTTCGAGAAATTGTTGAATATATGGTCAGGCAAGTGAATGATGCTGAGATTTCTAAGCACTTGCATTCTCAGTAACATGGTTTTACAAATGGTGATTCCCTTGTTGTGCATTCTCATATTTTCCTTTTCTTCCTTTCTCTCTTTTTAAGAAGACAAGGAAAAAAGTGCATCCTACCAACTGTGCGTTGAAATGTGTAATACTTGGGCAAAGAAAACAAAGGACAAAAGAATGGAAAGCTGTGCTGAACTGGGCAAAGAGATAGAAAAGGAATTTGGAGGCAAGTATTGTGCATTAATGCTTATCATAACAATAATGCCCTCTCCACCCCAGGTAGAAATGTCCACCTGTATTTGTAGTAAAAAGTTGCCCTGTAGGTCGCCATCTATGTGTTTCTTCAATGTGACTGATTTTGTGCTTTTTCTCCGCTTGATCTTCCTCAGTGTGTCTTGGAGAAGAAGGTACTCTGAAAGGATTTTCACCATTATCCCATGCAAACCTCCTAGGCAAGTTTATCTCATTTTTAATATCTTTGATTACTCTTTGTATTGTATGTGCTTTGAAAAGTTCCAGCTTTGGAGTTTTGTGAACTTGAATTCCAGTGTAAATCTTGGGTACAGCCACTGTAGGAAGACCTGGTGAAAGCCATATTGCAGAATACGTGCCAGTGATATTCTCATCCAGGGACTACTTGCCAATATCCACAAAGCTTTTAAGTCTCATGAAAGCACTTAGAATCTGCCTCCCTAAGTAAATAGAATAAGAGATCTAATCCTGAAGAATCACTGTTTCCCATCTATCTTTGTTCCTGACTGAGCCTGTGTTGTCAGCAAGACTTCTCAGACATGCCAAACTGATGAAGTACAGGATCTCGGCAGCTGCAGGTAGTGGATTACTGAGTGGATTGCTGTTGGACACCTAGTGTGCCCTCATGTCAAGTGTCATTTGGAACTTGCATCATTAGGGAAATTTTGAAAGAAAAAGTCATGAACCAAGACATCGTAAAGCAAAACTGGGTTAAGCAAAACTGGGTTTTCTTTACAGGCAACTCCATTCCTACGGTGTTTGGGGTTTTTTTGGCAGCTAAGCAGCATTTCTGCCCTTTTATATAAACTGAAGCTTGTTTTCAATGAACTGAACTCACTCAGCTTATGTCTGCAATATTTAATAGACTTGGTTGTGGGTGGAATGAGGATTATTTGGATTTGCATCAAAGAGAGCAGGAAGAGGTCTAAGCAAGACACAAATAAGTTACAAAGTAAAATTTCACACTGAAATTCCTCAAATACATTTGCAATGTTTAGCTGGTACACGACCTGTTTAGATCCAGGCCTCTGCTCATTCCATCAGCCCCAGGGTATGGGCAGGTTTTGGCAAGTTCCTTCTGGACTGAACTGACTGGTACTCTGAGAGTAAATCTGGACATTGCAGACAGGTCTTTTTTCTCTCTAATGCCTGTTCCAAGGAGTGTATTCACAGATAAGGCCTGGATTGTCTCTGTCTGCACAGTACGGTCCTCCACTCTTTCACTGGGCTGGTCTTCTCACATTCTCTCACATGATCCCTTGATGCTCTCATGGCTTTCACCTAATGTCCCCCACCTTGTACAGGTCATTCGACCAAGCTGTAGCACGGCTCTCATTTTATTCAGGGCCCTTTCAGCTGGAAAGAAGATGAAGAGAAATAACAACCCCTCTGAATCACAAGAATGTTGTAAGAGGCCCAGGAAAGTTCAGGCCTCACTCTTGTACAGTGCTGGTGTAATCAGTCCACTCCAGAGCCTGTAAGCCTCAAGCTTGGGAATATGCCAGCTGGTCTAGGGCCCAAGTCCTGTATAGTTTGTGCCCTGAGCGGCTCACTCAAATCTGTTTCAGCTGTACTAAGATTCCATTGCTTAATGTTAATTGTTTGAACTAGTGGAAAGCATGGTTCTTTCTTTTCTGAAGCTCTCGGGCCTTGGCCCGCAGGCTGGCTGTACACTGTCTGCACATATTTCTTCTACCACCACCCATCTCCCCCAGATTTTGTCGCACCAGTTGAAAAGTGACGTTCTCTAGATTCAGCTATGTTCTGAATTGTATTGTCTCTTCCCAGGCTCAGTGTGGGATGTCGGTAAGATGGTGCTTAAAACAATCCAATGTGCCTTGACCTGGAAATGGGGAACGACTAATAACTTCCTTTACAACTGCCGTAAGAATATCGAATGAAATTATGATTTGTTTATATTCAGAAAATACAGAGTGGTTATGCTATCCGACTAGATCTAGGGGGCAGAATGCATGGGGTTTAGCAGAGCTTTTATGCTGTGTTTGTGTGATGTTAAACCAAGAAAACTGGTTTTGCCATTTACTTTCTTAAAACAGCGAGTTAGATAGCTTTCCTTCCCAGGATCCACCCTCTGTTAACAGCATTAATTTGCTGCCCATTCGCAGCCCCTTATGGGCAGCGAATAAACTAGTCATAAACAGAATTATTTCACACTACGGGAATCCAGATCTGCAACATCATTGCAGATATATAAGCTCAATTCTGTCACATAAACACAAGCATCTAATGACACACAAACTGCCCTTGTATACAAGGGACAACAGCATTAAGTTGGAAGACATGAAATAAAACCTATAGGACCCCTGTGCCCTTTTGGAAGAGAACCTGGAGGACACAAGAAGTAACCGAAGGAGCTGGAACTGGACAGCTAAGTTTATGAAATTGAGTTGTGCTCCTGTTGCATGAGCAGTAACATTGGTCTCTAGATTCCATTGCCTCCCCTAGCTGGATGTTCACTGATGATAATGGAAGCTTTGGCACCTAGCGTGTAAGTAGAAACCTGCATTTAGACAACTGCAGTTAGGTGTCATGATCTCTAGCTGGCTCATGCATTCATTTTTCTGCTCAAAGATGTTCTTATCTTAAAACTGTGGGTGCATAATTCTAGGGGTGTGACCTCATGGCTTTCCAAAAGTGCATCAGGAATTCTGGTCTGCAGCTGACCACAGTCAGAGAGAGGTAGGTCAGAGGGATTTGGATTCCTCTTGTCAGAATACGGTTGGACATCTGGTTGGGCAGGAGAGGCAGGTCTCAATACATTGTTGGGGTGCATCATCAGTGAAGACCAATGGACTCTTTTGGGGCTGGTCATGTGTCTATATATATGTATTTGTATATGTCTTTATGAAATCTCATTGCCTTTTTTCATTGGATTAGCTAACGTTCAGCCCTCTTACCTGGTCAAAAACAAAATCATCTCTTTGATTGACGCTGGCCTGGCAATAAATTCTGCCTATCCTCTGGTCCTTTGAGCACAGCGGCAAACAGATCTGATCATTTCCTTTGATTTCAGCTCTGGAGATCCTTTTGAGGTACATGTGTGGGTATGGCTTTGGAGAACCTCCTTTGGGGTCATTGGGCTGGGGGCTGCAGACATGCATTACAATCATTGTCAAAGCAATTTTTGAAGAAATGTCTGAACAGATTCTGACAGGTTGGTATGCTGATCATCACGTTGTTTGGGCTTCTTTTCTAGGCAGTTGGCAGAAACAGATACTTGTAGAACGTGAGCCATTTTGTCTGTCTTGTTCACAGGTATTGTATGGTAACCTACCAAGGTTATCAAGCTGTCAGGCTATCAAGGGTGCATCAGGGGGAAAGCTCACAAATTTCTTAGCCTCCCTTTTTTCCTTAGGGCTGACCAGAATTTTTTTGCGGGTGAGTGATATTACTCCTTCCTTCAGGGCAGTTGATGACATTCATCAAAGAGAACCTCATCCTGGTGAGCAGAATGAGGAAATGACAGTCTCACCAGCAAAAAGCCTGCAGCAGCTGCGGGGGTTGGGAATTTCCAGAGGCAAGAAAGGAGCAGAAATGCAGCCAGTCTCAAAGATGACAGAAAGCAAGGGTATTTCCTAGAGACTCAGGTGCTGAATGGAACTTTTTGAAAGAATGGAAACAACAGGAAGTTGTTAAACTTTCAGGTAACAAAAATTAAGGAAAGGATGCACTCTAAAAAAAACCAGAAAAAATCCCTCTACTGTGAGCATATCAGAGATTGTTTACAATTATTTTTATTTTTCTTATTCTGTGTTTCTAGCTCTGAAGTCTTCTATTTTGTCAGGGGAGTTAGGTGGGGGAAGGACACTATACAAAACTATCACCATTCCTTGCTATAGTTTGTGTTCCTTTCAAACCTAATGTTTGATTTGGAATTTCTTTCGGACTTGAAGTTTAGTGTCTCATAAGAATTTTAAGTGTGCTAGGATATCTCAGATTGCTGCTTCTCTGCGTATTTTCAGTGTGGTCACTTTAGGGACAGTGGATGCAGCTGCATCTGGAGGCTCTGGCTCCTTTGAACATCTTACAGTAGGCATTGAAAATTAACTGATCTTTTCAAGTGCCCATTTCTGTTTGACTACAAATAAGATTGTCAGGGAGCAGCAAGGGCCAGCTCCTCCTTAAGGGACAGGGAGCCAAGCTCAATAACATGACCAGCAGGGCAGGGGCCTCACCAGCCAGGGTCCAGCCCTGCAGCACCTGAGAGAGACAAGCAGGACAGGTCCAAGATTGTCAGACAGGGTCAATCGGGAGCCCAGATTATCAGGCAAGTCCATGGTGAAAAGGCAGGTCCAGGATCAAGCCGGGAAGTCAGTCCGTGGGTCAGGGTGTGGATCAATGGAGTCCACGGCCAGACACATCTGTGGCTGAGCTGACCACTGCTACTTGTACAATGTCAGTGAGGCCCCTGGGCCAATGGGAAGGGTATGGGTGGAGGCCCCAGGACCGTTAAGGCCTATTAGTGCATTCAGGACACTGACAGTAGTCTTCCATCCCAGCAAAGTGTGTCCTCATGCTTGGGAGGTCTGGGTTCAGAAGGGCCTTTCTGTAAAGTGATTTCATTGCAGTGGTTGTCAGTGGACTATTTCAGGGGTCACAGAGACAGGGCAGGGACTGGGAACTGGAAAGGGGACATGGCATGAGAGATTTGGGGTTGAGTAGGGATGTTCAGCCGCCTACAAGGAGGGCCGGGGTCCAGGCTGGATTGGAAGTGAAGAGGGTGGGGCAGGGGATTCTCTGAGCTGCCCCTGGCAAGCCTTGGAGGGTTGACAGGCTTGAGGAAGGACCTCGCTCAGGAGCCTGGGAAAGGGTAGGAGGTTGGCACCGTGGGGATATCAGAGCCCAGGGCCAGGCTCGCCCCTCAAGAGGAGTCATAGCAGCGAGGTCCTGCACAGGCGTGGGCCAGGCTCCATGGTGCTTGGCACAGGCCTCAGGAAGGCCTGAGCTAACCGCCAAGAGCCAGCTGCTCCTAAGGGAAAGGGAGCCAGGCGGCATAACAGAGCAGGCAAGGCAGGGCCTTGCCAGCCAGTGTCCAGTTTCACAGGATCCAAGGGAGACAAGCAGGGCAGGTTCAACCAAGGGTTGGAGTCATCAAGCAAGTTGGTTGTGACGAGGCAGGTCCAAGGTCAATCTGGGAAGTCAATACGGATTAGGATCGGTGGCAGGTAAGGATCAGGTCTGCTGAGGGTAACCAGTCCAGTGATCGCTGGGCAGGTCCATAGTGATGACACCATTCCAAGGTCAAGCTGGGAAGTCAGCCTTTGGGTCAGGGCTCAGATCTAGAGTGCTGAGGCACAGGCATGGCTGTGGCTGAGCAGGAGACCAGTGTGCCTAGCACATAGCTCATGTAGGGGTTGAAGACCCAGGCGTGAGACTAAACGGAGCTCATGGGCTCATGGGAAGGATCTGGTCCTTACCAACTCACACCTCAACAAAAATAAAGGAAAAGGGGTTTGGAAAATGTAATTCTTCAGGGAAGAACAGCAGAAACCCTTATTAGAGGTAAGAGAAGCTCCTATCAGAAGGCATAACACTTTTTGACAGACAGCATTTACAGCAAAATACCTCTTTTACCTTTGAGGAGACCTCATATCAGTATCTGTAAGAATTTTACTCAGTTTCCCTTTGTGTAGGCTTTTTCCTCCTAATATACTCCATTTCCTTTCTCCTTTGATAAAAAAATTTCATTACAAATGAGGGTAAATGTACAATACTGTTTCTGGAATTGCTTCCATTTAAACATATATGCCTAGGGGATGAATTTGGGTAGCTTGAGTTAAAAAGAACTGGCTAGGCTTTCAAAATATTATTACTCTTTCATATCATTCCAGGAAGATGTTGTGAGAGGTTTGATTGCCTTTTGTGACTGCAAGAGTCATCATGTCTTTAACTACAACTCCATCTTTTCCCAGCAGTGATTAAGGAAAAGGGATAAATCTGTAGAATCTAACCCCCGAGGCAATTTGGTGGGGTGACAGAAATACCAAGGTGTCAATAAGTGCCTGTCGATGGGAGAGGCCAGTAGTGCCTAAGGCCCCATCTTTGGTTGTGAAGTGCACTCTTTGTGGAGGGGTTGCTGGAATGAATTGTGTAAGATCCCAGTTACTCTGGGAAGCTTACATAAAGTGTCTGCTGTTCACAACCCTTGTGCCATCTAGAGCAGAAAATTGCAAACCCATTCAGAGAAGAGTGAAAAATACTCGAAGGTTGTTTCTTCCCCTGAACTCCTGAACAGTTGGGAATAGTATTTCTCAGGGAAACCACAGAAAATCTCAGTTTGTGCAAGCTCCCAACACAACGCCTACCCCAGCCAATGCTTTCATGCAAAATCCAGCCAACATTAAAGTTAATGTGTGCCTTGAATCAAGTGGTTTAGTGTCTCCCTTTGCCAGTCAGATCGACATAAGCGACACACAGCGAGTTTTTAATTTTGTTAGAGTGGCAGAGCAACAGAAGGGGTTGCTTTGGAAAGCAAAATTTGTTCTGAAAGTCTGTGAACCTGGTGATGTCTTCAGGCTGCTTTATAGATGCCAAATCCCTTTAATTTTGGCATCTTTCCACATCAGCCACATTGCCTTTCTGGGTGTAGCTGTGATTTGTTAAACAAAGGTTCTTGCTGGAAGTGACCCCAGAAATGAGTGCTTGATTTTCACTTATATTCTAAACTTAGTCTGTTCCTCAGAGAATGCTTGAGGAAAACTTAGACTTTTAAATCTATTATACATTACAATTAAGTATAGTAATATAGATGGTTAGTTTCTTAACTAACCATCATTGTTTTGTAGCGATCAATTTAATTAATTTAATCACTTTAATTAATTTAATCAATTTAATTACTGGAGATAGGATTGATTTATTCTAGGAGTTCAGAAACAAGCAAACAAACTAAAAAATGCATACAATTTCTCTGTGTCTCAGACTATCAAGAAAACAGATGCATACTGCCGGGCAAACACTATCCCATTTCCCAAGATAGAGGATCAGGAAATGGATGAGAACAACCCTTCTGATTGCTATATTTTCCGAGGAGACAAGTCATGCCCTGCAGTCATGCACTTTCCACTCTTCAACAATGTGAATTGTTCTGGTAACATGCACTCTACACAACTTTATCTCTGTATATTTGTACTTCATATTCTCAACTTCCAATGCCATGCATTTCAGAGTCCTTCTTTACTCAGCACTGCTGCCGCAAATGGGCACAGAAGACAAGGAACAGGGCAGGCTCTGCGTATAATGGATAGAAGCTTGCATGGGCATTAACGTACTCACCCTCTCAGATAGGCGACGTATGTCCCGAGCTATAAGGATTTTACAGTCTTCTTGGTTTGTTCTGTAAACCAGTGTAATTAGATTGTGGTCCTTCTACTAAAGAGGAGCTGGGGAAGCATCACATTTAGAAGGCAGAGTAACCAAGTCTGGGATATTTACCACCACTTCATTTTATAGTTATTGGTGAGGAACAGGCAGGTCCAGAGAGAGATTTATCCCCCTCTCTCAGACAACTGATTAAGCAGGTGATGAAAGAGGCACCTCCAGACCCTGACTGATCTCCTCCTCTCTCTTCACTGGCTGCAGCAGGATCTTAATGTGATAAAGAGGTTGTATGTGAAACTTGCAGATCTTCAGGGATTAATGTTTTCCTCAAGTCCATGCTTCTCCTGAATGATCTTGTAGTTTTCTGTTTGGCATTTACTTACACATCTTGTCTACCTTTTTTCTAGATAAAATACAAGACTACAGAAAAAGGTTTCCCACCTTTCACACGTTCTTCCCAGAGGGAGAGATCAAAGATCTCCTTGAGAAAGCAGGGTTGAATGTATCCAACAACCGTGAGAAGATTCTGCAAGAGATAACACAGATTGTGTCTTCCTCTCACACAAATTAGTTCTGAATGCGAGGGGTTTTTTTTCCTTCAGTACGAGATAATGGATTTATGAATTGCTATAAATAGTATACTTTACCCCACTGCACTTTTCATTTTGGCCATTTGGTGTTAGTCTTCATACTGTGCTCTGGACAACTGTAATGTAGATTTCTCCATCTCAGCTACCTCTCTAAGTTCCTCTATAGTCAAAAGAACCAAAAGGTGCTCTTAGGGAGTGAATCATGTGGCACATTTTAAACACGTTTGTGAGAATAATATGGGCTGAGTTTCTGAAGGGCTGAAGAGGCTCCCTTTAAAATTGGCTGAGATGGAGGCATTGGTCTTTGCAAGGAAATTCTAAAAGTAAAAAAAAAAAAATCTAAAAATAACAAAGAGGAAGAATAAGGGATGAAAGGGGGGGGGGGGGGGGGGAGGGGGGGGTGAGAGAGGCTTTCCACAGAAGAATAGCTAACCAGGCAGTATGACAGATAATAAAGAATTAGACAGATAAGTACTAAACAAACACATTAAAAGGGAAAAAAGAACTGCTATAATTTTTGCTTTTGACAATGGAAGATGAATAATAGAGGAACCATGAAAGAGATGAAGAAAAGTCCGATGGTCAGACACTTACAAACAATGCTGGTAAAACTGGAGTGTCTCTGCACAAGGGGAGGATGTCTGTCTATATGAACCAAATGTGAACTAATGCTAGGCTCTGGCTTGCTCATGAGACTGGCTTTTCTAACCTCTTTCTTTCTCTGTGTTTCTCGCTTGTTCATTTTTCTGCATTTTCTGTGTATCATATTTAAACTTAAGTGTTTCTTAAATAGGTGAGCTATAGCTTGTTCCTAATGGCAGCCATATTTGGCTTTGTCCCACAGTGTACTGCACAATCCCTGTCAAAGAAAGTGTCTGTAATAACCTGGCATTGAACAAGTATATCTGTGATGATAGAAAAAAAAACACACCAAAAAAACCAACAAGCCTCCTCTGAGCTGTCCTGGAAGTCTTTAACTTGCAAGCTTTTTCTTGTGTTTTTTTGTGTTCAGACTGAATTAAAACCCAGGAAATTCAATGTAAACCCCAGAAAACACTTCCTGTTTTCACTGTGAGGGTGGTTGGACACTAGAACAGGTCACCCAGAGAAGCTGTGGGGTCTCCATCTGTGAAGATAGTCAATCCCACTTGGACAAGGTCCTGGGCAACCTGTTTGAGCTTACCCTGTGGGACTGCTTTTGTCTAGGAGAGAGTTAATTTTCTTCATAGTAGCTTGCACGTTGCTGTTGTAGATTTGTGACCAAAACAGTGTTGATAACACAACGATGGTTTAATTGTCACTGAACAGTGCTTGCACGGTGTCAAGAATTCTTTATTTTGCTTCGCTTGCATGCTCAGCTTTCGTTTTACCTATTAAATGGTCTTTATCTCAACCCATGAGTTTTTGCACTTTTACCTTTTCGATTCTCTCCCCCATTCCACTGGGGGGAAGTGAGCAAGTGCTGTGTGGTGCTTAGCTGCCTACTGGGGTTAACCCACAAAAATTCTTTTTGGTGCCCAGCATTGAGCTCAAAGGGTTCAAGATAACATTGGATTTGATTGGAGTGTGCTAGACCGAATTTACAGCTCTTACAGCTGTTCAGCTATTAACTGGCAGGCTCCCGTGCTTGCCTTAATGTATATTAGAGGCTAGTGCTTGTTAGTGGATTCTTTTGCTGTTTGCTGTATTGTTTATCATCTTCCTCTGCTGGGCCTGGGAACATTTTGATAACAGCAATGGCCATGCACCTGAGACGGCAGATGGCCAGGGGATCGCTGCTGTTCCTGTGCTGCCGTACTGGACAGGCTGGAACTCCAGTCAAAGGGACTGTGACCTGTGGATGAGCCCACGTTGGAGCAAGTACACCTTGAAGCGTCTGTGGCCATGGATAAGTCCATGCCAGAGCAAGTGCACCTCAAAGCATCTGTGGCTGTGGATAAGTCCAAGCCACAGCAGGTATGCTCCTGAAGAGACTGTGGCCCGTGTAAAAGGCCACACTGGAGAAGGTACACCCCTAAGGGACTGTGTTTCGTGGATAAGCCCTCGCCAGAGCACGGGCAAGGGGAGGAGCTCATTGCAATGCTAAACCCTGTGGCCTGGTCCAAAGGGAGCAGGGGTGGAGAATGTAATGGGTATACCTTTAAATTGTAACCCACGCTTTGAGTTGCATGTTATAGCAAGTACTGTGGCAGGAACCACTCAAACCAACAGACGACAAGCCCCCCAAGAAGCAGTGCAAGTGCAGCAGTGACCCAACCAGAGCTGGCTTTGGTGCCTAATAACTCAGCACAACACACCAACTCTCCTGACCTGAGCGACTGTCACAATAGACAGAACCCATGTCGTGGACTAAATGAACTCAGTGGCCAAATTATGGCCATGTTATGGACATTTTACAGGGGTGGCCCATAGACTAAGGGAATGATATCTATGTGTAAATCAAAGGACAGGAAAGGGGGTGGTGATTAATGAGGGTGTATTGGATAATGTGGCTCCTTAGTATGATGTAAATGCTATGGAATAAGGGGTGGAGACTGTAGTCGGTCTGGCTGGGATGGAGCTAAATTTTTTTCATAGCGGTTCATATGGTGCTGCCTTTTGTGACCAAAACAGTGTTGATAACACACCGATGTTTTAGCTATTGCTGAACAGTACTTGCTCAGCATATAAAGCTGGGGGAAGAAGAAGAAAGGGGGGTACGTTCGGAGTGATGGTGTTTGTCTTCCCAAGTCACCGTTACGCGTGATGGAGCCCTGCTTTCCTGGAGATGGCTGAACACCTGCCTGCCCATGGGAAGGAGGGAATGAATTCCTTGTTTTGCTTTGCTTGTGTGCGCGGCTTTTGCTTTAACTATTAAACTGTCTTTATCCCAACCCACAAGTTTTCTCACTTTTACTCTTCTGATTCTCTCCCCCATCCCACTGAGGGGGAAGTCAGTGAGCAGCTGTGTGGTGCTTAGCTGCCTGTTGGGGCTAACCCACAACAGGGGGAGGTTGGACTAGATGATCGCAAGAGGTCCCTTCAAACCTCAATGATTCTGTGTGATTCTGTGCTACCAAATTGCCAACTCAGCAATAGCATTGTGTGGAAAATGCTATTTCCTTAAACCCAGAATAATGCCTTTTAAATGCTGATACTCATGTTGGAATTCCAGCTGGAATTCAGGGACCTTGGTTGTGGGCAGTGGATGTGCTGAAGCTACTACTTTATGGACCCTGGTTCTAGCATGTTTGCCATATCTATGGCATATCTGTTCCCATATCTATTGCATATCTATGCCAGACTGGCAGAGTTCTGTGGCTTGCCACAACGAGATAGAAACATTTTGCAAATGTTTTTGCATTTGATAACTATCATGCTAAACATCATCTGTGCTGTTTTCCGAAGGAACGGCATCTTCACTACATGTTCACTGATTTTGTGCTCTACTGCATATTCACTCATTTTGTTGGGCCAAGGACAAAAGGGGCTTGCACTTCTGCCACACATACCAGCAAAGAAAAACACCTCCTTTAATTTCGGTTTTTACCTACAGCCACAATTCAAGGCAACCACACTCTCAGTGTATGAGTCCACGCTTTAGGATATCTTCATATGAATTGGGCACAGCAAACTATTAATCAGGGAAAAAATATTTATTTGCCAATGAAGATGAGAAACTGCTGAGTGCACTGACTTACGCACTTTCCCTGACCAGAGTGTTTACCTTCTTTATGGCTAAATCAGGTGCAAATGAATGTGGTTGAAAAGGAGCTGCAAAGTGTGGGTGTCTAATCTACCATAACCACACATCCACTCATCAAGTTTTACATTTCCTCTGGGGATTTAAATACCTCTTCCCATCTTTTTCAAATACGTGGTGTTTGTCCTCATGGTGTGGGCATCTTGCAAGATGTGCCAGACTCAGACTCCTATGTGCTTTGCCTTTTGGGTAGGACCGATTTCATTCCGTTTACCTGCCTGAAATATAGTTGTCATAAACTAGCATTTATATTTGCCTTTGGAAGTTTTGATCAAGTTTGTTCTTAAGCTCTTTCATCTAAACTATGTGAGCTCAGTTTTTTCCATGCAACATACTGTGGCAGCGTTCAAGTACGAGACTGTTATCAAACTATAAAACACTGGCCTCTGTTTTCTTACTTGGGAGACATTTAGAATCACAAAAGCAGAGAATCACAGAACAATTTAGGTGGGAGGATTTGAGCTGAAGGTCACCTATCTCTGCTTTAAGAAGGGACACCATGTGAAAGGACATGTGACACAACATGCAGGTTGGAACAATGAGTAAGGGTTTTCAGTCTGAGCATAAGCAGCAGGGTAGCAGAACAGCGTGGCCATAATCTAAAACTAAGCTAGTATTTTAGCTCCCTTGAATCGCTATGGAAAAACTGGCACCTTCGGGAAGAGACTTACTTTATGGTAAGACTGATGTCAAAGATGCAGTGCAGCTGTTCCAGTGGAGTTGTCTACTGTCAGTAGTAGGTTCTAAAGACAAAAGGTGCTGGAGGTGACTGGTGAAGGTCCAACAGCTCTTCCATGAATGGAAATCCATGCATGACTTGACTAAAAAAGGAAGGAAAAATTGCTCAGTTCTGGAAATTACCCTTTATAGCTGCAGTTTCAGACTACTTGAAAAGAATTTCTTATCAGTAAACTCTTACTAACTTGTTTTACATTAACAAGCCCATTGTTCCACTTCTACCTATATTAGATCACCATTCTAATGTTGCTAGGGTGGGACATTCAGGGAATGCTGTCCTTTCAAAATAAAAGACACAGAATGAGCTGAAGCAAAATGTAACTTTCTCGAATAAAGACGAGTGAAACCTGGCTAACCTATGAAGTGGTGAGGGATGCATCTTTTTTTTTTCTTCAAGTGTTTTTGGTATGCTACACTCATTACATGAAAATGAAAAAATGAATGAAAAAATGACATGAATGAAAAAAGTACTTACTGTGAACTCTGTCTCTGTTCACCACC